CCAGCTGAAGGATGCGTACATGTGTATTTATCCTCAGACCAAACCTTTAGTCCAGGTGTGACAGTTATAAAGTCATTAATGACACCGACCTGATCCAAAATATCCCTGTTTGCTGTTGTACTAATTAAAAAAATCCATTATCAAATAAACTTGCATATTATTATTATTATTTCTTTTTCATTTACTGTTAATGATTTAAACCAGGCAAGCGAATCAGGCTAAAACCAGAAGTTTGATCTTGTTGAGCAGAAAGTGGGCGTGTTTCTTATTGAACGAACAAATATTTTATTAGGAGGGAAAATCACAAACACCTAACGGAGCAACAGCAATTTTGTGTTTTCTCTGAAAGCTGAGACGCGAGGGGAGTGCTCGCAAACTGATGAGGCAGACGAGAAGAGTGCTGAGACAGTAAGGAGTGAAGGACGAAGAACGAGGAGGAGGAGAGCTCACGTCCTTGATGGTACCAGCCACAGGGATGATTAATGGACACCTGGGTGCCAGCGTAGCATGGAGGGAAGGAGTGTGCTCTGGAGGTGAAGCTGCAGCGATGGGCAGTTCTGAAAGTTACAGAGAGTCAAAGTTCCTCCCTGATAAAACCTGCGTGTGGCTGCCAGAACGACTGGAGAGGAAAGCTGCTTTCAGACGCTGGTTAGTTTGTGAGGAGTAAATGTTATGACTGAGAGTTTATGTTGATGGTGATACAAGTTTATATCTACAAAAAACTCATTTTTTTTCTGTCTTTACATGTTTATCACCAGCAGCCTCTTACCTTCAGGCTCAGTGGGTTTCACACCACAGGGTGACACTGGGAGGACATCTCACTCATTTCTTGTGAGCAGGGACCGTTTCCAGCAAACGCAGGCATGTACAATATATATTCATCTAAAACTAAATAATAAAATATGTCTAATGAACAAATTCAGAATGACAATAATGAAAAAACCTGGGAGTGAACTTTGAGCTCACGTTTCACCAGCACGGATCGCATGTTGGGAAGCGCTCTCCTGTTAGCGCGTGGACGTCAGAGTTATGATTGTGTTTGAATGCAGCAACACGAGAGATCGAAACTTAACTAGTTAGTCAGGTTAAATCAAACCAACAAATCATCCGTATCTACTTAAGTAGCATTCACTGGTTCCACTGGTTTGGAACTGGGCGCACAACATTGTGGAGCCCCACCCATCTATTTCCCTCCATAATCCAACCGAGGGGTGTGGATGGGCCGGACGCCATAGGGCAGCCTTAGGGCAGGAGGCGAGGTCCACTCAGGACAGGTCGCTAACACAGAGAGACAGCTCCCCACTGAGT